CGCATGCTCGCGCGCCCGGGCCGAGCACCCCGAGCGCCAGACGCGTCCTGCGCCCCGGAGCCCGGTGTCGTAGGGGCCACGCGCTTTTCTTCTTGAGCCTCGTGCTGGGATGACTGGCTTCTTGGATGTGTAGTTTTCAGCACGTTTGACAAAACTTCGGCCATATTTACTCACATATCTTTTCTGCCTCTTATCTCAATCCTTCTCTGCTCTGGACTCGGGTTACATTTACATGACTTCTTCATACATGTGCTGTGCACGTATCCAGACGTTTCTGACGCGGCCCGTCCACTTGACCGTGGTGCGAAAGCCATACGCGTGCGGTAGAAACACTTTGAATTTTGAATTTTGAGCTCCCCCCCAGGCGGGTACCCCGTAATGCTGGACAGCGGCAGGGACCCGGGGACCCGGTCCCCAGGGTGCACCGCCGTGCGCTACGCTGTAGTGTTCGATGCATTTTCCACTTCTGTGTCCAATGTAGGATGCTCTGGTTTGTCAGGACGTAGTCCCACCGGAAGCCAGGCTTCCTGATGCTCTGTTCATTTTTAAATGCCTTTTTCCCCCTCTCATTTTGGATCATTCCTCTTGCTAGGTCTCGAGTTTGCTAAATCTTCTCTTTTGCAGCGTTTTCCGCCTCAGGTGCGCTTTCGTCTCTAGAAGTTCGGAATGGGTCTCTGTGTCTTCTGTGGGTCCCCTCGGCTTCGGGGTTTTATTCTCTGACGGAGGGGCGGTGCAGCATAGAGGTGAGAGCGGGGACACTCGGGTTCAGGAGGTAGACTCACGTTAAACCCAGACCGACATCCTGTGTGTCTGAATATCGGCGGGTTACTCTGTTTCCCTAAACTGTGGGTTCCTTCTAAGGAGGACATCCGTTACTTCTCCCCTTAGCATCCATTAGTCCTTCTCCAGCGATAGCCCTGCGGGTTCTGCGGACATGGGGTGAAACATAGGACCAGCCTAAGCTAGTCAGAAAATCCCAGTGCCCTGGCCACGGCGACTTAACTGGGATGGGCAGATGACCCAGGTAGGCCAATTAGATGGGCTCAGTACATGTGTGGGAGCTGCTGGACCCTCCTTTAATTCTCAATGTAGAATTATCATCAGGCGAGAGGGAGCCTGAAGCTGTGGGGGCATCCCACGCGTCCCGGAGGGAGGGTTACCTGGGACAGGGCCGAGGCCGGCAGAGCCAAGCCCGGGGTTGAGTCTGAAGCTCCCTACTGTGCTGGCCACTTCCCGCGCGAATGCCAGTTCGCGTCGGGTTCTTTGGTACTGGTAACGAGAAGAATTCAAATGATACCTAGGTATATTGTCACCACCTTGGGAGTGTGGCGAGATTCAAACCTCGTGTCTGCGAACTGCTTGGTGTAGTGCCTGCTATTCGTTATATCTATTTTAAGGTATTTTTTCTGGAACATCGTGAAGCTCTAAGAAAAATTCCCAGTTATAACTATCTTCTCTCCATCCGAGTCGTTTTCAAATTTACAACGGTTTTACTACTTGCGCGTTTTCTACCCCAAAGAAATTGGTCTTTCTTGCCAGCTACACAGAATATTTTTCTGCAAGCTCTTGCCTGAAAAGTTAGCCTTGTGAGTATTTGTGATTCTGGACGGGAGCACAGTGGACGTGGCTGACGCTGAGACACCGCTGTGTGGCGCGCATTCCGGGTCCTCCTCAAGGTCACGGTGCGCTGTGTCCTGGGCCACGCTCTATCGTGAGCGCGGCGCTCTCGGGCAGGGCCACCGCGCACGTCACCCCAGGCCGCGCTCCTAGGGGCGCGGGTGGCAGCGATGCGCCCTCGGCTCGTGCGCGTTCGTGCACAGACGGGCGGGAGCTGCGCGCACACGGAGGTTGTGGCCTTGTCGCATCCAGCACGTCCCCTCTCGTGCCCTTCGTGGCTAATCTGCCTTAGAGCGTCAGAAACACGACTTGGATGACTTGGTTATGGTGTGGGGACAGGACTGGAGAGATGCGCCGTGTCTGGCCGCCAGGCCCAGCTGCCGGTGGCCGCGGATGCGCAGAGCGCCCGAGCCGCGGAAACGGAAAC